ATCGAAGTCAAACAGATTTATTTTCGAGGGGCTCATGGATGAACAATTTGGATAGTTGCTAAACATTTTTGATGATAATAGACAATCGATGTATCCGCAAGCAATTTTCAGTTTCGACAGCTCAGCCTAACTAACGAAAGCCTTTCACTAAGTGGGCTATGGGTTTAGCCCAACGAGCGAAAGTTGACTGTATTCACATTAAATCATTTTTATGATAGTAAATCCACAGACAAACAGACGTATCTTTTTGAATAAGTTTATCTTGAAAACATTATACAACAACAAAATAGGACCTCAGTAGCGACATCTCTCGAGCTTCTCGTGGAAAACAAGCTAGCTCGCTAAGTTTGCAGTCAATGTTGCATGCAAGGTAAACAGAATATATAGAAACGTCAAAGTGATCCGACACTGCGGTGAGCAGTTCGCGGAAATGATAATATTCAAATCAATCGTTAAATGCGTGAACAATTGTTTAAAATGAATAGTTACGTCTGTTTGTCTGTGGTAAATCGTTCATTTTAACGAAATCCGATTTCAGAATTGGATTCAGCAATACAAAATTATGTAAAATAAGTAAATTCGCCGAACAGCACCAGAATAAATGGTGAATATGATCGGATTTTACAAAACAGTTAAAAGTTGTAAATTTTATCACTTCCACAATATTGAACAGGGACCTCCCTTAGCTCAGTCGGTAAAGGCGCAGCTACAATGCAAGACCATGCTGGAGGTGGCTTGGTTCGATTCCCGGTTCGGTCTAGGAATTTTTCGGGTTGGAAAATTTCTCGACTTCCCTGGGCATAGAAGTATGATTGGACTTGCCACACAATTATACCAATGCAAAAATGGTACAGGCATCGAAAACTCTCAATTGATAACTGTGGAAGTGCATCTAGCACACTAAGTTGAGAGCACGCAATAAGCTAATATGCGATATGCAATAAGCTTGAAATGCGTAGAAGAAGAAGAAGAATATTGAACATCTAGAGCGGTAAATTGCATCGATTGTTAGGGAAAACGTTTCAAAATTCCTGTTTAAAACTACTTAATAAAACGCTGAACAAATTATCTTTTGGGAAATCTAGCCGTAGATCGGATAAATTTATCAAAACAACTAACTTGTTCAAGGGTCGAAAACTAACTCTCGATAAACATTTCAAATGGTCCTATCTGCTTTGATTGATTCTCTTTATCGACTTTCTCTTTTCATAAACACTACTATGCAAACATATTTCGCGCTAATTCTACCACAGTTAAAGGAGGTTCTTATTTAGCTTCCAAAACGTCAAATACAACAGGGAAAGGTGTTGCAGCTGAGTTATTGACGAAAGAGAAAGTCGATGAAGAGAATTGATCAATGCAGATAGGGCATTTTGAAATGTTTATCTAGAACTGACATATTAATTTATTTTACTCTACTGCTACAGAAAACCATAGCCTGCTGTTGATCAATGTTTGGGCAGTAGCGATCATCGATTGCGGATAAAATGGTACTTAGTGTCCACATGCTTCGAGCGATTGTTGATGTTCGATGACTCCAACTGCTTTATGCAGGACTGGTCATCCTCATGTACGGAAAAATCTTGAAGTAGCCGGACAATCCCCGTTAGCTTACGACAGCACTCAGCGAGCACCACAAATTTGGCTTCGAAACTGCTTAGCGCAATGCAGGTTTGCTTGCGCAATGCCCAACAAATCGATCCACCGCCGTACAGAAACACGTATCCAGAATTGGATTTTCGACTGGCTGCATCACTGGTCCAATTTGCATCCACGTAAACCTCCAATGTCGACTCATCGGCTTTCAACGAAAGTGTGTGGTCCTGCGTAGATCACAAATACCGCAGGACACGTTCCGCTTCTGTCCAATCAGCTTGCGATGGTGAGCTAGTTGAAGGTCCCAAAATCGCTACAGACGCAGCTATGTCCGGTCGAGTATTCACCGCCTCATATAACAGACCACCGATTAGGCAGCAGATATTTCTCCTCCCTCTTGTTTAGGTGGCCGGGATCCAGGGAAAACTTCGATGGCTTCGCTTGATCCATTCCAAATTGCACCAACAGCTTCTGAATGCAAGACTTCTGATTTAGTTTGAATGACTTACCATCACGCTGAACTTGGATGCCGAGGAAATTCTTGATGTCTCTCAGAGATGTGACCATAACATGGTTGTTGAGGTCCTTCATAATGGCGTCATACTCTTCCTTGTTGTGGCACTCGACGACAATGTCGTTGGTGGATGGCAGGAAACTCATCTGCTTCAGTACTCCATCGATCTTCTTGTTCCAAATGTATCCGGCTTGCCTGAGTCCGGGCAGACCTTTCCTGTTGCCGCATGTAAACGGCTTCTTCCAGTTCTCCGTGTAAATAGGCAGTCTTTACATCGACATGTTTCAGCAGCATACCACGCTGGCCTGCGACTGTCAATAGTGTCCTGAACGAGACTTGACGAACCACCGGCGCGAACACCTCATCGAAGTCCATCCCATACTTCTGCGAGAAACCTTGCGCTACGAGATGAGCTTTGTAGTGCACGACGTTGACATCCTCGTCCAGCTTCCGTTTATAAAGCTACTTGCAGTCTACTACATTGCGATCCGCGGGCAATGTTGATTGTGTCCAAGTTTGATTTTCACTAAGCGCCTGGATTTCGTCGTCCATTGCAGCTATCCACAATTCCTGCTTCTTGGGAGGTTCTCGGCTCGGGAATGATCCTTCGTATCATACCCGTAGTTTCACGGTACCGCTGTGGTAACGTTCCCTTTGTGTTGCGGCTTGACCTTCGAGGTGTTGCTTCTTCATCGGAATAGATTTCGACCTCCTCCTCAAACGTGCTTTGGTAATCATCATCTTCTGCTTCGGTTGTATCTTGTGGTCTTACCGACTCGTACTCCACGATTGCCGGAGATGGTTGACTGATCACGATTTCATTGGTAGCTTGGTTGATGAATCGAAAAGCATTGTGGTTATCCGAATAACCAACAAACCTGAGCTTGATTGCTTTTGGTTCCAGTTTGGTTCGTTTCACTCCTGGCACGTGAACGAACGCTGCACATCGGAACCTGTGAATGTTCGTGTAGTCTGGTTTTTCAGTAATCGTGATGGCAAAGAGATATCCCATCTTCGCGTCGCTTAACATACATCGTACCATTTCAACGATCGTCCGGTTCTTGCGTTCCGCAACTCCATTCTGTTGTGGTGTGTACCTTGCGGTGTGTACTCTGGGATGATCCCGTTCGTTCTGTACAACTTCTTCAATCGTTGCGCCTTATATTCGCCGCCTTGGTCTGAGCGAATGACAACGGGCTTCCTTCCAAAACGATTACATACCATGTTGACATACTCCTCGATCTTGTCCGCTGCCTCGGACTTCTACTTGAGGAAATAGACCACGGTGAACCGACTGAAATCGTTGATCATTGTGAGAAAGTACCTTGAACCTCCTGGCGACGTCGGATTCATCGGGCCACAGATGTCTGTATGGGTGAGAGCGAGTAACTTCGTTGATTGTTTTCCTGCCTTCTTTGGCAACGGTTGTCGTGACAGGTTACTCTCCGCACGCCCTTAGCCAAATCTTCGCGTACCACACGCTGGATCGCTTCAGGGTCCCTATGTCCTAGCCTTCGATGCTACACGTGCACACAGTCCTTGGGATGTTGTGCGGCGTGTATTGCTTGTTGCTTGGCGATTTTCAAGTAGAACAATCCTCCAACTCTTCCTCCGCACTTGATAACACTTCCTCCGTGACTCCGAAAATGTTCCTTCAGCTCCCTTGGTGTTCAGGCGGCTAACCGAAACCAGGTTCGACTCTAGCTCAGGAACATAGAACGCTTCCGACAAGATGACTTCCTGTTCCTCGCCTCGGGCGTCTCGTTTCCGAAAAGATGATCCAAGTCTTTGAGGATTTTCGATCGCAACTAGCCATGAATGCGAACGGTGACAGCTTGCCAACTTTCACACTCTTGCCTTTCGGTGGAAGCTCCAATTGTCTTCCACCGCTCGGTTGTTTGTTTGTTTCCTTGGTTTCCCGGGTTGCTACCTTCTTTTGACGTAGGACTACGTCTTTCGGGAAGGGTGCCAATTCAGGGAAATGCAACTAAAATTGGTCAAAATTTAAGCTTGGCCAATAATCAATGGATTTTGATGATTTGTGTGTCGATCGATTCACCAGTGTTATAAAATTTGCGTGGTATGTTACACATTATAATTGTTAAATATTTAAATAGTTAACAATGAAGCAATATGAGGGGGTTAGAAGGAAAGAAGTAACTTTGATCGAATCTCTTTATCGACTTTCTCTTTCATTAATAATTCAGCTGCAAACAAATTCCTTGATTCGTGTGCCATTCTGGATGCTAGGTTATCAAAATATGTGGCAGAAATCTTGTGGTTATCAAAAAGAGAAAGTCGATGAAGAGAATCGATCAAAGTCACTTACACCCCTTTCCTTCGAACCCCCTCATATGGAAATATTGAAATGTCCCATACATTTGTTTCGACCGCAAAGTGCTCACCCTAACACAGCCATCAGAAAGTTGATCCCTAACGACACAAGCCGACACGTTGCACGTAGGACGGCTCAACCACGGACTTGTTCGCTGCAGCATTCCTAACAGCTCAATACATACACCTCACACCAATGAAAAAGTTAGAGGGTGGGGTACAAGACACGACCGCAATGTTGACGTAGGACTACGAATTTTTTGTTCGACACAGAGTTGAAGGAGAACGGACCCAATTTACAAGATGAATCGACATGACGCCACTCGTAAGTACCGTGACAAGCTGAATCTGGTCCACCTGTTGAAGAACTCAACATGTATCAAGGATCTGCAGAATATCCAGGCGCTGTTCCACATCGTGGTGATATGGGAACGGTTGAAAGTTGATTGTCGTTAAAAGAAATTGCCAAAAATTTGAAGCATCTAAGTAAATAGTCTTCTACCGGAAGCAAGGAGTTTCCAACGCACTGATTTCCATTTATCACAATCGTAATGTATTTACATTGCACAATATACTCCCTCAGCGTCTAGCTCCTTCTACTGAAATGCCGCTTTAATCACCTGTTCCGCTTCCTTCGCGTGCCACGAGCTGACCCCTACAGCCACGGTAGCACCTTCGTACCGTCCCCGGTACGTAATCTGTACGGCAAGAATATCAAAATTAGACACAATTCCACACAAACACCTCGACACCGACTCACCCTCTTTCCGCACATATTCTCGAATCTGGGCTGAACGAAACTCCACGCACCCATGTTTCGGTGTTCCTCTTGGCTCCAAACGACTTCCCTGACATTGCTGTACTTGGCCAGTTCCTCCTGAATCCGCTGCACCGGGAACGGACAAAGCGACTCCAACCTCACGATCGCAACTTCACCGTTCTTGCTGGCCAGTCGCTCATTGTTCAAATTGTAGTAGTGCTTTCCGCTGCAAAGGATAACCCGTTTGACCTTCTTCGGATCGCTGACTGCGCCGTCCCCGATCACCGTCTGGAAGAATGTTCCCGGGGCCAGGTCTGCGTGTGTCGAAACACACTCCGACAGGCGGAGTAAGGTTTTCGGGGCTACCACGACCAGCGGCTTCCGGAAGTTGCGCACCATCTGGCGTCGCAGAGCGTGGAAGTACTGAGCCGGCGTGGAAGGATTGATCACCTCGAAGTTGACGTCGTCTCCGTCCGGGGTGGCTTCCTTGGAGTCGGTCATCTGGAGGAACCGCTCCATCCGGCAGGAGCTGTGGTCGGAGGCGGCTCCGTCGAAACCGTGCGGCAGCAGCATCACCAGGCCGTTGCACACCATCCACTTGGCTGGAAGTTTTGAGATTAGGTTAAGTCAATGTTAGCGAAGATGGATTGGAGTGGCACTTACTTTCACTGTTGAGTACGAATGTATCGATAATGATCTGGGCACCGTTGAAGAAGTCCCCGAACTGAGCCTCCCAGATGATCAAGTTGTTCGGGTTGTCGATGGCCATGCCGTATTCGAAGCCGAGCACGGCCTCTTCCGATAGGATACTGTTGGCCAGCTCCAGCTTGCCGCCGGCACCGCCGTTCAGGTCGTTTAGTGGAATGTAGATTTCATTGGTGTTCTGATCGACGAACATGGCATGACGGTGGGAAAATGTTCCCCGTCCAATGTCTTCGCCACTGATCCTCACATTGTAGCCCTGGTACATCAAACTTCCCATGGCCATGGCTTCCGCGGTGGACCAGTCAATGCGGTTACCTTCGGCTACTTTCTTCAGGCGGGCTTCGACGTGGTGCTTTCGCAGGTGAGGATGAAGGGCAAAGTCCGGTGGGCAGTTTACGCTGGTTCTGGCGATGAGGTTCAGTAGACTGTAGTCGATTCCAGTGTTCCACACGGTAACTTCATTCCCTGCCTGCTGTATGCCAGTCCACTGGTGTTCGAAGTAGCTTTTCTCAGGTTGGTAGTCGTTGAGGTTCTGCAGTTCGGAGTTTAGGTAATCGTGGTGAGCTTTGACTGTAGTGTCAACGTCGTTTTGGGTGATCTCTTCGGATTCAATGAGCTTCTTGGCGTACAGATCTGGGACCGAGCTGCGGTTGTGGATCACGTTGTAGAGCAGTGGACTGGTGAACGTGGGGTCGTCCAGCTCGTTGTGACCCCAGCGTCGGTAGCAGTTCAGGTCGATGAAGACGTCCTTTCCGAATTTCTGTTGGTAATCGAAGGCCAGCTTGGTGACCTTGGTCAGTGCTTCCGGGTCGTCACCGTTCACGTGGAATACCGGAGCCATGATGCTCTTGGCCAGGTCGGATGCATAGCGAGTGCTTCGTCCGCGGTCGCCGGGAGTGGTGAAACCTACCTGGTTGTTGACGATCATGTGGATCGTGCCGCCGACGTCAAAGTGGGGCACTTCGGCCATCATGAGACACTCCTGGTTGACTCCCTGGCCGACGAAAGCTGCATCACCGTGCAGTTGGATGTTCAGGACTTTTGAAGGTACCGAAGGATCGTTGTGATAGGGTCCGTCCTGAAGGGAGAGTTGTTTGGCACGGGTCTTACCCATTGAAACTGGGTTGACTGCTTCCAGGTGGGATGGGTTGTTGAGCAAGTTCAAGTGGATCGTTTTACCGTTGATGTTCAAGTTCGTTGAGGTATCTACGAGGGAAGATTGCGGCTTCACAGTACGATTTTATCAAGAGAATTGATCGACCAACTTACTGAAGTGATTGGTGATATCACACATGGCTTTCACGTCCGGAGGAAACTCCGACAGTCCTTTGTACTTGCGGAAGATCTTGGCTGGTCGGGTCTGGAACAGGATTGTCAGGACGTTCAGCTTTCCACGGTGTGGCATTCCGACGACGATGTTGCTCAAGTTCGCTTCCGCGGTACAAATGAACAACTGCCGGTAGAATGCCATAATACTTTCGGCTCCTTCGCCTCCGTATCGCTTGACGGAGGGGAACTTGGTCGCCAGGAAGTTGTCGAAGGCCTGTGACTTTAGGAGTAGTTCGGCGATTTCCTTCTTTTCCGAGACATTGAGGTTGGTGTGGAACAGTTGTTCGTAGTTTTCTGCAAGCCATTCGCGCTCCTGTTCGTTTTCGATGTACGCCAACTCGATGCTGGCGGTTCCGCAGTAGATGTGCTGTAGTAGTTGCTCGAGCTGTTCGACGGTCAACGCTGAAGGCGGATCGGACGAGTTGACGACACCCAGCGGATCGATTCGATCTGCTGAGGAAAGTCCATAGCGGGAGTAGTCGAGCAGATGGCTGCAGTCGTCTGTTGATTGAATGAAGGGTACCGGATTGATTGCGGCCACTCGGTGAGCATGATTCCGGTAGGATTCTACCCAGCGATAGGCGTTGCTTTTCTGCACCCGAGCATCGATGATGCGCTGGTTCACTGGAAGGAGAAAAATCTTGTAGATTGCTGCTATCTATGATGGGGGTTGATCCCACTAAACAATGTGAGTTGGTGATAAGGAGCAATCAGCACAAATCGCGATTGCACGTTACTCTTGAGTAATTCGCTTATTTGCTACAATCTACCCTGCTGCTTTCCAAACCCGGAGAGCTGAGAATGTAGTATTTTCAACAACTATATCGCGACCGAGATAAGGAATCAAGACGCAGAACAAACAAGATTTTGGCAGTGGTTTTAAATTACAGCCCAGCTGGTCAGCAGATCATGAAAATGTTGTTCATACTTACATCGAAATTCCTTCACCGGTTTCGGTTTGAATCCGAAGACTCCCTTGGTACTGTGATACTGTCTGCAGAGAACTCGATGCATTCTGCAGGACGGGATGGAGATCTGCTGCAAAATCACTAATCTTAGTTTCAATTTCAAACCGACCACGTAGCAACTCCACTGGCAATCCAACAACCTATCTATCTACCAAAGCACTGGAGCGTTGTCAAGTCAGTGAAGGAGGAGATAAAATACTGACGGTTGTTGTTTTTGTATAGGGGCTGGGTCGAGATAGATTTACCTGTCTACCTGGCGTTTGCTTGCTTGGGAACGGAACGAGAGTTCAAACGAAACTGAGAGTGTTCTGTGCTCTGTGTCGGATGCTCTGCTGCTGGCCAGCAGTTTTTGAATGGTGGTGTGACGTGCACACATATTGAATCACATCGCACATTTATTATCGCGCTTTCTATTTTGAGCCGATCCGGTGAGACAAGTACCGGCAGGGAGTTGTTTATGAAGGGCGTGAACACATTGCAAACGGCAGCAAACAAGCTGCGTGTGCAGTGTTGTATGAGTGAGCATGCCATGTGGGTCTGACCGGTGGAGGCTCGTTCGGTAGAGTTCAAAGCCGGAAGCATGTTCTGAACGAATCATATTCAGGGTTGTTTACTTGCTGTTGATCAATATGAATGGAATAATTTCCGCTATGATGCTCTTATCTCATTTTAATTTGCTTAAGAGTGTTCCGAAAAAATACATTAGTAGTTTACATAGTATTTCATTATAAACGGAAAAAAACTAATCAGAATGTGGATTTTCGTAGAATGATCGCACTTTATATTTACAGGGTTGTTACGACTACCCGGATTCCGCGACTTTCGCGATTTTCGTGATTTTTGCGGATTTGGCACAGATTTGCATCTCAGAATTCGTCTGGCATGAATTTGGCACGGATTTTATCCACTTAGTGTAATTGTAGACTTCATTCCAATGATTTCAAAACGTTTCTATAATTCTCTGATCGTATCTATCACCGTTCAATATTTTCGTTTCTCAACAATCCTTTTCATGATATTGGATATTGGATATTGGTCTTGGAGTGCTCCTTAAATATCTCCTTCTATTTTCCTCCCGATTCTCAATAAATTCTGCTCAGAACCAGCTACGAATTCATTTCAGAACTTCCTTCTTCTGCACAGTAAAATTCCTTTGAATTCATCTTAGAATTTCTTAGGACATTATCTTTTCGTGTACTTGCGCAGAAATACTTGTAACCAACTTTTACAAATTCTAAGTATTTTTTTTAATGTGTGCTTTTATTTTGTGTACAGTCACGTCTCTAGAGTAGTATGGTTAGTAAATGCTATTAAAAATGTTATTAGGTTAGTAGAAAACGTCCAAAAATTTGCACAGATGGAGCTACTCCAGTTATCGCATGTGGTGTAGAGTTGTGCATCAGCAGAAACTTACGTAAATCCCAGACCCAGTCTAGACTACCTGATTCCTGGCTAATTTTTAAGTGTTTCAGAATCGTTATATTCGCGCGCTCAACTTCACCGTTGGCCAGTGGCCAATACGGAGTTGTTCCCCGAAGCTGGATACCGTACTCTCTGCGATATGTTGCTAGCTCTTCCCTTATGAATTGTGGGCCATTAGCGGCCTTTATTGATTCTGGGATGCCAAATCTACAGAAAGATTCATGTACGGATAGTACGATTGGCTGTGATCTGTTTCATTACCACAGCTTCGGTGAATCTACTGAAGTATTCGACTATAACAAGTTGATTGTGACCAGACAGCAATGGATCCATGAAATCTACAGAACCAGTTCGGAAGTAGACCTGTGCGCCGCTGCACCACGCCACCGCCGCCGACGATTTTTATACGCCGCCGCCGCCGATGAAATTGAACCGGCGTGGTGCCACAGTAAAATGGTTCACGCCGCCGAATAAATTTATGTCACGCCGATGAAAATTCCGTAACATTTTTTCGGCTGAATGCATTTTGAAGGCGTTGAAATTAGAACTTGTGTGCACGCTCGTTCGTGGCTACTAAAAATTGAGTGAAAACCACTCAATTTATTTAAAACCAGATCTCCTCTAAATTGAGTAACATAGCCAGAACTGAATTTGGACTAAAACGGCTAGGTATTTGTTCATGAGTTATTTTTATTCATTCCCATAACCTCAAATGAGCGTGTATGAGACAGCAATTGTCACTTAGTATTTTGAAGTTTGTTCGCGCTTTCTCTATGTAGGACACAGGGATGAATCATTATTTTCCTCCTGCTTGCACTTGTTCGTAATAGTTTTTTGGTGCGCTGATCAAACGTAAAACATCTCAGTTAAGTGATTTCGTCTCGATGAGCGAGATGTATAGGTGAGGCAGAAGGAAACTAGCTGACTCTTTCTTTCTCTCGATCCGACGAAAACACCGAATGAATGAAACAGTGCACTAGAGTTTTCTCATACCCTAACAACGTTGTAGGTGGAGATATTCTATGCTTTTGAAAAATTAGAAAGCTGCAGTATCGTTGCAGGAAATCCAACAAGGCTCCAGGGATCGATCGCATATCAGCAGAGATGCTCAAAACTGACTCCATGCTATCCACTCAAATGTTGCATCAACTATTCTGCAATATCTGGGACACCGCGACTTTTTCGGATGCAGGGCGTCTTAGTGAAGGTCCCAAAGAAAGGGGATCTGACTGTGTGCGACAATTGCCGAGGCATCATGTTACTGTGTATTGTTCTCCAAGTTCTGTGCCAAGTTATCCTGAATCAGATACAGGAGAAGATCGACGCGACTCTCTGGAGGCAGCAGACAGGATTCTGTGCCGGAAGATCTTGTGTGGACCATATTGTCACGCTCCGCATCATCATGGAGCAGGCCAATGAATTCCAAGACTCCCTTTATTTGGTATTCATTGACTACGAAAAAGCTTTCGACCGACTCAATCACGATAATCTGTGGGGCACCCTGAGTCGCAAGGAAGTCCCGGAAAAAATCGTCAACCACATCGAAGAGCAGTATCAGCCTTTCTCGTGCAGAGTTCTGCATAACAGAGCCTTGTCTGACCCTATCCTGGTGTGAGACAAGGATGTATACTATCACCGCTACTGTTCCTCATCGTAATCGACGAGATCATGGTGGGTGCAATCGACCGTGTACTGAACTGTGGGCTGCTTTGGCAGGCTATCATCATGAAGCATCTCAACGACTTCGATTTGGCTGATGATTTTGCTCTACTAGCACAACGGCGTTTTTGATATGCAGAGTAAGCTCAATGACCTAGGTGAACGCTCCTGTGCGGTGGGTCTTACCATCAACGTCAACAAGACTAAATCGTTGGATGTCAACACGGGCAACCCTTCCAACTTTACGGTAGCGGGGCAAACAGTGGAGAAGGTCGAAAGTTTCCAATATCTTAGCAGCCGAATAGCGTCGGACAGCGGGACCAAGAGCGACATAGGTGCACGAATCAAGAAGGCTAGGGTTGCCTTTGTGAGTTAACGAAACGTATGGAGATCAAACAAGATAAGTCAACGCACCAATATCCAAATTTTCAACTCGAACGTGAAATCTGTGTTGTTATACGCCAGCGAGACGTGGTGTGTATTAGCGGAGAACACTCAGAAGCTGCAGGTCTTCATCAACCAATGCCTGCGGTATATAATTCATGCCTGGTGGCCTCACAACTGGATATCGAATGCCGAGCTCCATCCTCGATGTCATCTGAAGCCGATAGCAATAGACATTCGAGAGCGAAAGTGGTGGGTCGGCCATACACTTCGACGGAGCGGAAACGAAATCTGCAAGCAAGCGCTGCTTGGAATTCGGCAGGACGTCGCAAGAAAGGCAGACCAAGGGGCTCATGGCGGCGAAGCCTCAGCAAGAAAATAAAGCAAGTCGATAGGAATCTGCGCCCAGGTCAAGGCAAAAGCGAGCAGCCGCCCATGATGCAAGTCTTTCGCGTTGGCCCTTTGCACCACCGGAGGGTGGTGTACAGGACTCTTAAGTAAGTATCCTTGGTTCGCAAGGTATTGTGTGTGCCCGCCACCAGCACGATAAGTGAACGAGTTTTTAACATAGCTGGGCTGACCTATCTGCACGTCGGTCAGGCATCCACCCTAACAATGTGGATAAAGTAATCTTCATTCATGACAATTACAGTGTTGGAAAAATCATTTTCAAAAAAAGTTCTATCACAGCGCATTGCAGAGATAAATCCCAAAGGAACTTCTCACAAAAAGTTCGCGAACGAGAGATGATAAAAAGTTCATGAAAGCGTAGAGCGGGAGAAATTTTCATTTCGTATCGCGAAAGATCTTTCGTCTCTCCATCTCACATCATTTCACACGTACTCGTGATTCGAACCAACCAAATATCCCCTCAGCTTTGTTCTTTTTTTTCCAGCGAGTAAAGGTAGGCGATGATCACGCGAGAGTGTCTGTTTGGTTTCTTCTCGTTCGCCGATATTTTTCACATCCTTCACATTAAATACCATTTCCAGAGAACTTTGAGATTTGGGCGTAATTGCTTTTGTAAACAAACACGTCATTCAGCGATTTCTCACGAATCAAAGCACAATCTAGCGAACTATACTATACCAAATGAATCATTCCTCTACCTGTCCGTGTTGTTAGCTTTTTAGATTGAACTTTAATTCACGAGAAATCGGCGAATTAAGTGTGTGTTTACAAAAGAAATTACGCCCTAATCTCAAAGTTTTCCGGATTTATTTATAGTTTTAGTTCTCAATGCAAGCTAATAGTAAATACTTGTAACTATTCACCAAGAGTCTAATCTTTGCTGACCAAATCATCATTTGTGGCTGTACTCTTCGACAAGAAGAACTATGCTATTAGTGAAATTTAGATCGTTCTCAATCTGTCACTATATCAAAAGCTCAAGGTACATGGTACTTTGATTAATTTTGTGTTCATTTCCAGCCAACTGGTAATAATTTTTTGTTTTTCTTTTTTTTCTGCCTATATTTTTCACAGTTTTAATGGACATTGAATAACCTGTTTAAATTTTTTATCATCCTAAATTGCACACTAAAAAGATGTTTTTGTCAGATCCTTGGTCAGCAAATAAAGCGTTTTGAAGTTCAGCAGTGCAGCAGTCCCGCATACCTTATGGTTTTACATAGTTTTACAGGATTTCCAGTCATGGGAGAGGACAGTAATAGCCCAGTGCTGTAAATTTTCATATCATTCGATTGAAGATGAACCACTACAACCATTCAATCAATTCTGTGTAAACGAATTCTCACATGACCATAATTT